CCAGGAGACCTGCCTGGGGATAGAAGCTGGGTAGTGGGAGTCTGGGGCAGGACGGAGAGGGAGCAGGAAATGTGATCTTCTCAGATTCCTGAGAGAAAGACAACTTGCCCCTTGGGACGTGGGTCAGAGGAGGAATTTGGGAGGTCAGATGGCTTCCCAGCTGCACTAGCTGGGGAATGTGCTTTGGAATTCCTTACGCTCCAAGCCACCTCCGCCCCCAGACGCTTCCTCAGCTTGCCCTGGAGAAGCTGAAAAGTCCAGGGACTCTTTCCACCACTCTAGGCACCAATCCACCCCTATGGGATAAGGTGAGGCAGGGGTCATGCTCTCAGGGACACCTGAGCAAGTAGGTTCAAGGTTAACCCTTAGATACAAATGACCGTGGTTCACATCCTATGAAAGATGCCCTCCATCTGCCCAAGAACTCTTAACCCACACTTGCTCGGCGCCAGATTAGGAAAGTCCAATGAAATGGAAACATCACCTAGCAGGGGCTCTTGAATTATCCTTGTCTACTGCGATGCTCCCAGAGTGGCCCTCAAGTTCCTGGAGATGAGAATTTGACCACAGCCTCATTCTGTTCCTTGGAGCTCAAGAAGGATTGGTCTGGGGAGGCTTTGGTGGCCCTTCTCCAAGAGAAGAAAGGGGTTTGAACCAATTTGAGAAGGTCCCTATTGGTCAACACTTTAAAATATTTAGAGCAAGTAAAAGCCTATAGTCATCTGATCCATTCTACAGATGGGTAAATTGAGTTCAGAGAAAAGTTATTTGCCTTCTCGGGTAATCTTTCTTACGGCCAATCCAGCACTCAAACCCAAATCTCCACTTTTTCTAACACAAGGTTCTTCCCTCTTTACTGCACTAATCTTGGTGTTCAATTATTGCCACATCCTATCACAAGGTCCACCCAGGTTTTTTCTAGAAGGGAACGTGGATCACACACACAGACTGTGCTAATGTCCACTCAGGGTGGACACAGACCACTCAGCTCTAGGTAAGGGGTCCAGGCACCAGGACCCTCACATCCTCCCCTCCCCTCTCTGTTCTCCCCTTACCCAGAGACACGTGCTCAAGTCTTACCTCAGAACAAGAACTGCAGAGTGAATCTAGGGGTGTCTGCTCAGCCTGGGCAGGGACTGGGCGAGGGCAGGGATGGAGAGGGCTTTAAGCAGACAGGTGGGCTGGGGCCCCGTGAGCCTATGGTGTCAGGAATGTCAGTGGAGACAAGGGGTGTGGCGGCAGGGAGTGGGGTGTGGGCTGCTATTTTGACAGGTGCCAGAGACAGGGCTAAAGAAACATGCACCCCACGCCATATAAGCCCATGTGGTCGTCCAGCTGCTCAGATAAGCTATTTAAAGCTGCTGAGATAGAGAGAGCACAGGCGGGAGCAGGCACATAACACAAACCAGCTGTCCCTCTTGAAAATTCTGATAAAGCAGATAGATGCCAGCGACGCAGGCCTGGAAGGACTAGCTGGGAACACAGTTGAGGGGCAGAAATCAAAGACACTATGAGTCTCCAGGACAGGGCCATACTGGACCTCTGAAGGACAAGGGCTTATCTGCACCTTCACTTGAAATGAATTGTGGGTAGAGATGGCTTCCAGGCTGCTGGCTTACTCCAGTTTTACTTCTGCAGGGCTGAGAAACTTTAGGTGAGTAGTAGGCAAGATGGGTCTTCTCTGTGACTCCGCAACACCATGGGACAAACTCTCCTCAAAGGAGATACAGGGACCTTACAGTTGAAAAAGGTGGTTCATCTTCAACAGGCAGTGGGTTGTACAGGGGTGGTGGGAACTATTGAATATTCCCTCGAACTACCCCACCCTTGGGCTCCTCCTGGGGTCTTGGGAAGTTCTCCTTGCCAGAAGGAAGGAGCATGGTGGTGTGAGCGCAGGAATCGCAGCAAGCTTCTGGAGTTGACCGTTTTTCCGGGCACGTGTTTGACGTGCAGGTGGTCTAGCACTATCTGTGCGTTGCTGTAGAGGTAACTCGTGGTTGCTGTGATGCTGAAGCCTGTGACAGTGATGTGCCAATCGTGGTAACAGGTACCATGGTGGACATTGCTGGCTGGAGCTTCCCGACTAAATCAAACCCGGAAGCAGGAGCGGCATCCACTTCCGAAATGGCTTGCCTCCGGAAACACTATGTACGAACAGTGCTCAGGCCGTTCGTTCATAGGGTCGCTATGAGTCATCTACGACTCGACGGCATCTAACAACCACCACCACCCCACCCTTAAAATGAAACTCGTTGCTACAGATTTTGTTTCAACTCAGTCTTGATTATCAGGTTTCTGAGGCTGTAAGAGGAGACCGCCCAACTCCCTCAGAGCAGCTCGTGGGTTTGAACTATCACCCCTTGGCTAGCACCACGACCCTGACATCATCCCTTCCATTCTCCAGGCTCCTGGGCTCAAATTATACAGGCCTGTGAGTCTAAAAACCTATTACAGCCAGGGCCCAGGGTACTATTTGTGGTGGAATGTGTAAGTCCTTGTGATGGTTCATTTAATCTGTCAACTTGGCTGGGCTACGGCGCCCATTTCTTTGGTAAAACAGTAGTCTAGATGTTGTGAAAGTATTTTGTAGAAAGGATTAACATTTGCAGTTGATTCTAAGTAAAGTAGTTACCACTGTGGATGGGCTCTGCTAATTAATCAAAAGTCTTAAAGCAAAAACAGAGGTTGCTAGAAGAATTTTCCTCAAACTGTAACAAGAATTCTACTGGAGTTTCCAGCAAGCCACAATAATAATCAATCAACTCCAATCTCTGTTCAAAGAGTGTGTGTGTGTGTGTGTGTGTGTGTGTGTACGTACATCATCACTAATTAGCATTCCGTTAATTCCAATTCATGGAAACCCCCCATGTCAGCATAGCACCATGTTACACGTGTTCCAGTGTTTTTCTATGTGTTCAGACACAGATGGCCAGGCCTTTCTTGAGGCATCCTGGCTGGTACTGAATCTCCACCCTTTCACTCAGAAGTCAAATGTTAACTGTTTGCACCAACCAAAGATTCCTCCCTTACTCCAGATAGATAGATCTACTGGTGGTTTTGTCTTTGCAAAACCCTAACAGTCCCCAACTCCAGCACATCATAGGGCTCACTACATGACAAAAATGTGCGCTCGAGAGCTAACATGATCGTGGGCATGCCTCTGCTCCTTGTTTATTGCTATCTCCCTGACAGAAACGAGGGCAGGCTCACATGGGTTTGATGTATGAACACAAGGGGGAGGCAGTGGTGGAGTGGAGCACACACCCTCGAATGATTCTCCACGGAGGGCCTGCAGGCACCAAGCTTCATCACCTTAAGCCGCAGCGACTGGAACTGCCCTGGTGAGCTTTGCCTACCGAGTTTTGAAAAACTTGCCAGCAGGAAAATGTTTCTAATTGAAGACCATCAATAATCAAAGGTATTTTAGAGATCACCTGGTTGAACCCGAGGCTGAGAGAAAGGGGGTTCCACACCGAGTCACAGCCCAAGTTGCTGGCAAGGCCAGAGCAGACACGTCTGGAGCTCTGGTCAGTGTCCATCCACCCACCTCTCTGTCCCACCTTGGGCTCTGTCCTCAAACTCTCACCTACTAGGGTGGGATACTTATAAGACCTCCTGATCTGCTAGTGGGGTGGGAGGCACCTCCAGGTGGGACCCCCCAGATCCCCCTCCCCCTGGATCACCATGGGCACGGGGGGGTCAGCTACAAGAGACTCAGCCACTACAGACAGGCAAGCCTGGGGCTCTGGGGTGCTCTGAGGGACCAGGCAGGCATGCAGAGATAGAGGCTCTTAGACGTCATGTCCCCTGCACCACAGGATCAAGCCTAGTGCTTCTCCCTGAATCACAAGGCTGGTTGCTTCTGTCCACCAGCTTGGACACTTGGGGCTTGGTTCTCGGATGCTCTACAGTGTCCTGGACATTACTGACTGGAAGGAAACAGGGCTCTGAACCTACTCCCAGCTCCCACTTTGTTCTGAGTAAAACCTAAGCATTTCATCAGAAATAAGAGTTCTTATGATTAAAAGGAAGGAAGGGAAAAGATGTAAGCACAGCATTAAAGGATTCGGACAGGGCTTCAGACTGATTTGAAGTTCAGTTTTGTCTTGATTCTTGGGTGTCAGCACTACGTTTTCAGGGGCCATGAGGTTGAAGGGACCGCGGCGGCCTGGACTTGGAGGAGGTAGCAGTCAACTTGGCCATGTATCTGGAAATTCTCCCTGTCATGTGGCCACAGCTGGGACCACCTTAACATAAGAAGAGAGACATGAGGGCAATAATCCTTTCCTGGCCAGCCAAAGCACAAAACAGTCCTCTTCACACACCGAAGACGATCCAGTTAGGAAGTAAAGCCTATGAGCCGGCATCTATTTCTAAGGTAGCATCAGCCATTTACACCTGAGAGTGAATGAGTTTATCAGATCCTTCCTGAGAAGAGGTTTTGCAGAGAGGGCAGGGGAAAGGCACTGGGCTCCTGACAAAAGCAGATCAAGGAAGTGTGGGAAGAGGAAGGAGGGAAACAGACACATGTATTGCACCTCCTTCACAGTCCGGCATCGGCAGGCTGGGGGCAGGCCCGGCCTCAGTGAGACACACATCATAGGCACCCGCTCGCGGCAGATGAGGCTCTAGAGTTCTTGAGAGATACGGTCCTGCCCTGATCCGTGAAATGGGCAGGAAGGAGGGGATGCCTCTGGACAGAATTTTGAGGTGCACAGTGCTGATGTGTGCAGTACTGTGCCCAGGCCGATGCTGGGTCCTGACAGGGCAGTCCCATGGATCAGGACCAAGGGACACACCTGCCCCCTCAGGCTGGACTGAGAGGGAGCTGGCTGAATCTTCCCAACATTCCTGGGCCCAGGGACCCTGGCCAGTCAGTCAAGAGGCACAAGGAAGGGAGTAGAGGTGACGAGGGACAGGGAAACTGCTGCAGGAGGCAGAGCTGGCATGAGGGCAGGGCCTCGAGATGCAGACATGCAGGTCCATCTTGACACAGCTCATCACACCTGGGGGACAAAGGTGCATTAGAGGCAGGACAGGGTCCCTCAGTGGGAAAGTGTTCCTTTTCATGAGACCCACACTCAGACAGAGGCAGAGGCACCTGCTGTCTGGAGGGACCAGGGGCTTTCTTCAGAGAGCTGTGGGGAAGCAGAGCCCCGTGAGGGTGACTCTCCAGGCTAGTTCAAGTCAATCCAAGGATGCAGGAACAGGACTGGAGGACATCTGGGGCTTCTGGACTATGAGATTGTCTCAATGAGTGTGTGCATGTGGATGGGGGAGGGAAGGCTCCCACCACCACCCCAGCCACCCACATAGCCCCTCCTCCAGGGCCGGGCCCCTGTGTCCCTCACCTCAGCATCCAAGGGACTGTCGGATTTCTTTCTCCACTGGGTTCTCTTCGTGGCTGCCGATTCCTTCTGCATTTCCTGCACGGGAGCACCGGGGTAGACCCTCAGATGAAGGGGCCCAGGCTCCCGAGACTCTCTCCCCTGCAGGACATTCTCCCTCTTCCTGGCCTAGGCCACCTCTCTGCTGCCCGCTGCCCCCTGCCCCACCGTCCTATCCACATCACTGCCCTCTCCACTGTCTCCAGATGGGCACAGCTGACCTCTGACCTGGGTCATTTCATCGTTAAAGGGCCCGCAGGAAGAGACATCAGGGAGGACAGGTACCTGGGGGTCCTGCTCGCCAGACTCCTGGGTCCTGCTGATCCACAGGTTGAGCCTGGATGTCACGACCCCTGAGAGTCTTAAGTTCTCCTAAAAAAAAAAAAAGAGAGGGTTCATCTCAGCGGGCCACAGCCTGGGGTTTGCTGGCCCCAGGACAGGGAGAAGTAGCCCAGGTGGTGCAGTGGTTTAAGCAATGGCTGGACTCAAAATTATGGCAGTGGGTTTGGTTTGGGGGTTGGACTCTACCTGATTCCTATATACACCCATACACATTTCTATCATAAGGTTCGCTTATAGGGTCACTATGAGTCATCTACGACTTGATGGCACTTACCACCACCAACACAGAGAGAGCTCTATGGGCCTCGTGGCTAGAAAGTGATGCTACCAAGTCAAAAGTGGGTGATTTTAACCTGTGGCCATCGGACCTGGTGTTAATTGTTTTTGGTTAAACATTCTTCTAGGTGTTTTAGCCCTGGTCTGTCCATTTGCTGTACAGAAGTAACTTGTGGTTGCTGTGATGCTGAACACTGTGACCCTGATGTATCAAATAATGTGTCAGATAATGGTTACCCATGGTGGACAGTGTTTGGTAGAGCTCCCCGATGTAAACAAGCCTGGAAGCAGGAGTGGCATCCACTTCCAAAATAGCTTGCCTCCAGAAACTCTATGAACTTAGGGAAACTAAAATTATACAAGTGTTCAGGTCTTTTGTTCATAGGGTTGCTATGAGTTGTCTATGACTCGACAGTCCTTAACAACAGCAACAACAAACATTTCTATATCTGGAACAGTTCCCTCACCTTTCATTAGGGGCTATCGGCACAAACAAGGTAACCTGGGCTCAGCAACCGTGAATGGTAACTCAAGTCCGAGGTAGGGGCTGACTTGAAAATGCAGAGCTGGGGTTCTCAGGTTCTGGCAATCTCAGCCTGCAGACCCCCGGGTGGGCCCGAATCCCTCACCTTCCGGCTGAAGGCTGGCTCTGCTTGACTCTGGCTGGGCAGCCCCTTTTCAAACAGGTGGCGCTTGCTGGCGACCCCCACAGGAGCCACAAGGAACTCTGTGCGGGAGGAGCCAGGAGACTTGACGGATTCTGATCTCTAGGAAGAGAGAACACAGGCTGCTGAGTCATATGAATGACATTCACGGGACCCGCGTTACCCAACTCGTCAGGCGTCATGGGCTGTCTGGAAGACAGTCCTTATTCCTCCACACACACATACACACACACACACACCTGACTCGTCAGGTGTCATGGGCCCTCTGGAAGACAGTCCTTGTCCCTCAACACACACACACACACACACACACACAC